TGGTCTAGATCCTAACGCATTTGAGGGATCTTGCACAGCATATTTGGAATGACTGATGATATGCTAATAAATAGGGTAAGAACTTATTAGAAACTAAAATGATTCAATCTGCAATGGCAACTACATATGTATTCAATATTTATCAAAGACTGAATTTTTTCATTGCCAATCTAAAAAGGTTGTTATTATAGAGCAGGAAATAGTCATTGGTTTGATTGTGAGGATGATTTTCACAACAAACTTACTCAGACTTTCATATCTCATAGCTTTATTGTTTTTTTTAAATTTTAATTTATTTCAAAGAGTGACAGAAGAGAGAGAGAGAGACAGAAAGAGATAGATCTTCCATTTGCTGGTTCACTCTCCAAATGCCCACAGTAGCCATAGATGAGTCAAGCTGAAGCCAGAAGCCTGGAACTCCGTTTAGGTCTCCCACATGGGTGGTAAAAACTCAAGTACTTGGACCATCATCTGCTACCACTCAGACACACTGGCAAGAAGCTGGGTTGGAAACAAAGGTGTCTCAAACCGAGACACTCTGATGTGAGCTGTTGAACCCATTGTGCCATGACGCCCATCCTAGCTGTGTAGCATTGAGAAATAAAAATAAGTTGGCAGTATTTTTTTGAAGATTTATTTGAATGGCAGAGTTACAGAGAGAGGAAGAGAGAGAAGAGGTATCTTCTATCCACCGTTTCACTCACTGAATGGCTGTACCAGTTGGGCCTGGGCCAGGAGCTTTATCTGGGATTCCTGCACGGGTGGCGGGGGCTCAATGAATTGGTCCATCTTCTGCAGTTTTCTCAGACACATTAGCAGGAAACTGGATCAGAAACGGCACTGCTGGAACTTAAATGGGAGCTCAGATATGGGCTGCAGTGTCGCAGGTGGTGGCTTAACTCACTGCCGCACAATGCTGACCCCTTCCGTCATATTTTAAAAGAAAGAAATCATCCTCCTTCAGTAGCACAAATGTACTTCGTTTTTGATGTTTTGTACAATTACTATGGGCCAAGAAGACACAGTCGGTCATCACTGTGATCATTTTTAATTAAAAAAAAAGGTGCCAAAACTTGGTGTGTACACAATATCTAAAGGTAAATTACTAAAATAATACATTATTATTTTTTTTTGACAGGCAGAGTGGACAGTGAGAGAGAGTCAGAGACAAAGGTCTTCCTTTGCCATTGGTTCACCCTCCAATGGCCGCCGCGGCCGGCGCGCTGCGGCTGGCGTATCACGCTGATCCGATGGCAGGAGCCAGGTACTTATCCTGGTCTCCCATGGGGTGCAGGGCCCAAGCACTTGGGCCATCCTCCACTGCACTCCCTGGCCACAGCAGAGAGCTGGCCTGGAAGAGGGGCAACCGGGACAGAATCCGGCACCCTGACCGGGACTAGAACCTGGTGTGCCGGTACCACAAGGCGGAGGATTAGCCTAGTGAGCCGCGGTGCCGGCCAAAAATAATAAATTATTTTTTTAAAAAGCCAGTGAACTCATAATTGTATTAGCCTATAAAAATAAGTTAAAATTTTAAAAGAAAGTAAGTTAAAATATTAACTCTTTTGGAGATGATGGATATGCTAAGTATTTTTATTGTAATAGTTTCACAAGTGTATACATGTGTACATGTGTCAAAACTTATCTGACTGTATACTTTAAAATCTCTTTGAAAGCTAACTGCATCTCATCAGATCATTCCGTGTTTTAAATCTTGTGGGGAGCAACTGGGAGCAACTCGGACTAGACTAAGTTACTGGAATTAAGACTTATTCTATGCATCTGCTCTCCCACAATATGGCGCTGAGAAGGGAGAAACAGCTTCTACACAGCTGCCTCCAGTTCAACCAATAAACTGTAGGACCTGCTCCTGATTGGAGGAGAGCAGCGTACTCGGCGTGTGGGTAGCAGAGTTGGGATTGGTGGAAGAGGACTATAAAGGAGGAGAGCGACAACATGCACGGGGAACATCTATCTGAAGGAACACCTGTGCAGCCCCCGAGAGAGCCGGCCGGCGGTGTGCCGCTCCCCCGCAGAAGTGGGGAAAGTGGCAGGGGGAACCGCCCTTCCACGGAGGTGGAAGGGTCGGTAGCCAACCCGGGAAGAACCAGCAGCAAACCCGGGGAGGGCCGAGCAGACAAAAGAACAGCGCAGGGTCCTGTGTCGTTCCTCCACGAAGACGGGGAGCGACAAATCTATAAAATTTTCTTTGATTTTTTTCTAATATGAGTCACCTTTTAAAAATTTATATGAGAAGCAGAGAAAAAGAGATGGAGTAGGCACCCATTTTTGGTTCATTACCCAAAATGCCCATAATGGCTAGGGCTGGGCTGGGCTAAAGTCAGGAGCCAAAACTCTATCCAGGTCTCTCACATGGGTGGCAGGAACCCATCTACTTCAGCCATCACTGCTGCCTCCCAGGGTCTGCATTAGCAGGAAAATGGAACCAGGACTTGAACCCAGGCACTTGGATATTAGATGTGGATGTCTTAACTGCCATAATCATTTTTATACTAATATGGTCTTCATCTTTGTGATGGAAAGAGGAATCTAATAATTTATATCTGAGGCACTTGAATTCAAAGACGTGATTAAAAAAATCACAAGCTACTTATCTTTTTTTTTGAAAAAAGAGTAGTTGGGTCTGGCATTGTGGTGTAGCAGGTTTAACCATCGCCTGAGATGCTGGTATCTCACATGGGCACCAATTTGAGACTTGGCTGCTCCACTTCTAATGGAGCTTTAAACCGCAATTCACTTACACACTCTTTTTCAGTTTGCCTTTTGCATTTGACGAAGACAATGATAACTTTACAAATGCGAAAGCGCAGGTTAGAGGAGTATCAGTGTTTTTTTGAGAATCTTTTGAAGAAAAGCTGATGTGTAAACTTTCTGTATGTGATTGCTGGCTTTGTAATATAAGTCATTTCATCATGTATGTATGTAGTGAATGCTTAAGGATTCAAAAATAGAAAATTAGTGTACTCTATAGCAACCTTCACATACAGTTCATGACAAACAGAAAAAAGAGAGGAGGAGGTGTTGAGAACCACTTGGGTGCCCACGTGGCTTGCCAGAGTGCCTGGGTTTGAGTCCTGGCAATGACTTCAATTCCAGCTTCCTACTGATGGGCATTCTGGGAGGCAGGAGGTGATGGATCTGGGAGTCCCTGATGGAGTTCCCAGCTTCCGGCCTGGTGAGCCTGGCATTTCAGAGAGGAAAGGGCACATGCAAAGGCCCAGAGGTGTCCAGTATCTTTGGTAATGTGTAGAGGGAAGGTCTGCACGGGGACAGGTGAGGAAAGGTCCCGAATGTCAAATGAGGCGTTAAGTCCTGCCCTGCAGAGGATGAAGCCAGGCGTGGATTTGAAGCACAGCAATGCGGTGGGCAGCGGGGCATTAAGGAAATCCACACTGGTGTTCAGACAGGGAATAACAAGCCCGCCACCCTGTCTCCAGCCTGCTTCTTGCTTCCTCCCAGCCCTGCTCTCAGGGTGGACCATCTTACCTGACTGCAGATGCCAGAAGGCCATCCCTGGCCATGACCACTTTCAGTCACTGCACATGGCAGGCTTTCCTGGAAGAAGCCCCGGAGGCACTTCCCAAACCACACTCTCACTGCCTCCCATGGGAATATTGGGTAACTGGGACTCTGGAACTTGCCCCCTTCCTGCCAGCCCTCCAGCTCTCTGAGCTACTATTGTCTGTTGCCATCCATCTACCTTCTGATCCCCAAGATTTAGGCAAGCTGAAGAGCACAGACCCGGGCCAAGCCTTCCAGAGGGACTCCTCCATGTTAGTTCCCTCTTGTAGCATAGTCAAGTGACCCCTGACCCTCGTGGGAGCTTCACCCAGGCCACCTTTGTGACTCCCAACAGGGTCTGGCTCTTGAAACTGTCATTGTGTCCTGGACCTCGGGGCAGGTTGAACACAAGCCAGCAGGACCTAGTATTCCCATTGGGCCTTCTGACAATGGTACCCAGGTAACATGTATGTCAGGCAGTCACACAGAATGCCTGCAGATGGCTCTGAGCCTTATCCCTTCAGGACTAATGTGCATCACTTGTCAGTCATGGGAGTTACCTTGATAATTCTCTGAAATCACTTTCCGTGCAACTTTTCAGAGGCACTCCAAGTATGATATGACTACCTGCCCAAGCTGGAGCATGCACAGCCCCAGTTCTGTGCCAAGAGGATGCATAACAGCAAAAGAGCTGTGATCCATTTTGAGGAGCATTCATTTTACCGTCACATTTGGAAAAGGTCATTCACTAAGAACCATCCCCCCAACCCCTAGAAATGTGGAAGAGAAGATGACCAAGGGTGGAGGAAGGGACCCATCTCCGCAGCTTCCCTAGGTGGGGCCAGAGGGGAGCTCGCCTCTCCAGGCAGCCTCCAGCCTGTTCAGCTCACTTATGCCTTGCACAGGGAGCTTTGGAAGGCCAAGGTGCTGCCAGCTGTCCTATCGACCCGAACACCTCACAGAGAATCCACAGGTACTTGGCCTACCTTTGTCTTCTGCTCAATCCAGGCCTCAGACTGGGTGTGTCAGGCACACAACAGTGTGGACTTCCTGCCTGGCTTCCACCTGCAGCGGTGTGAGTTCACACCTGGTTGATCCTGCACACCATGATGTCAGGGTCCATGGCCCTTGGGGTGGGGTACTCTTGTTCTCCACTGACAATGCAGAGGATGTTGGCTATGGACACTCTTAGCTCTGTTGCAATACACATTACTATAGACTAGGATCTCCTGCTGTGCCAGAGAGCTCTGAACCTGTCTGCCATTCCTGCATATGTGAAACTATGCTTTGAGCCTCTCCTTCCCCAGTCTCTAGGAATCATTTCCACTCTATTTTTGACTTTTTTGAGGTCAACCTTTCTGGGATCCCGACAGCAGTGAGACTGGATAGTATTTATCTTAACATGGTGATCCTCATGCCAGTGAACTTGACTGAACCTTGCCAGAATGCACACAGGGATCCAAACATCACACGGTACCCCATTCATGCATGAAGTATGATTTTTATTCATGAGAAACATTTGCAAAAGGCTCAAGAAAATTAAAACCCTCAGGCAACTCAGCTTGAGAACCAGCTTGAGAGGAGCCACTTTTCTGCAGTGGATGCCAGGGCCAGTTGCTGGGCTCAGCAGGATGCAGTACACCTGCTAGAGGAAGCTTGACAGTCCTCCTGTTAACCTACTGACCCCCTGCCAGCCCTGGCTCTCCTCTGGGGCAGTGAGGAGGTCCCAGCCTCCTCAGGCTCAACTGCTGGCACATCTTCTGGCTCTATATGGTCCCCACCACTCGTGGTGCTGGTGGGAGGAGGGTGAGGCCACGGGGATTGGCTTGAGGGGTGGGCTGGGATTGCAGCTCCTCTCCTCCTGCAGTTGGCCAGGTAGTAGAGAGTCAAGCATTTGGGCTCCGTCAGTGGCCTTGGGCTGTAGCTCCTGCTGGCCCTGAGGTGACAGGGGTTGGGAGGTGGGAGAAGACGGCTCACTCCAGACCGTCGCTGGTGTGTACAGGTGTACTCCACAGAATAGCAAGGCTATGGTGGGAGGCTGTGGCCTGGGACATGCTCTTTTCCCTGGTGTGGATCTGCTTTGGTATCTGTGGGACCAGCTTAGACAGCGGGGCTCTGGCAGTGAAGCCTGTCTCGCTATTCCAGGGGCTGGCCCCACAGCCAGGCTCACCAAGTACTCTCTAGATTTTGGGTCCTGGAAAGAACCCAAGACCTGCACAAAGATAACCTTGTTCTCCTTAGCTTCTTCTTGGCAGGGACCAAGCCACCAGGAGTTCCTTGCAGGCTCCTTCATGGGCCTCTCCCATGGGAAGCAGCCATTCCAGGGGGTCCTTCGGGGTTGGGCTAACAGAACATGACAGCACATAGCAACCATACAAGACAGTGTCTTGCAGCTGGTCTAGGTTCCTCCCATAGAAGGGCAGGGCTGCTCCCATCGTGGCAAACAAGATCACTCCTAGGCTCCAAATGTTAGCCTTGAAGGCATCATGGTCCTCTCACAGAAACACTTCTGGGGCACAATACTGTGGGTTCCTGCAAAACGTGCTCACCAGTTGTCCCTCAGCCAGCTGATGGCTGATGCCAAAGTCAGATAATTTATGTTTATGCAAGAGTCCAACAGCAGCAGGCTGTCCAGCTTCAGGACCCTCTGTAGCACACGGTTTGGGTGGCAGTTAGTGCATGGCCAACAGGACCTGACTGAACAGTAACTTGGCCTTGCCTTCCCACAGGCCAGCCTGCATCGTCACGTAGTGCTGGAGGTCGCCTCTGCCTGTGAGCTCCATCACCAGCCATGCGTGCTTGCCCATGCGCCTCACTTCTGGGAGCTGGAGAGCGTTTTCATGATGTAGGCTCTTCATGGTGGCCACTTCTTTTAGCTTCGGCAAGCTGAAAGCATTGCTGTAGTTTTGCGGGGATCAGCTTCACGGCCATCTGCTTCCTAGCAGCTGCCTGGCAGGCAAGCTTCCCCTGGCTACAGCTGCCCTAGCAGTGATGTGCAGGAAGTGGTACCTGGCCAGAGCATCACTTCCTGATGGAAAGCTTCACAGTCTTCTGTCATGGTGACTGCCTGTCTCCTCTGTCTAGAGTATCTGAACTATTCTATCAGCCAACACTAATAGTCAACCACCCTCACTGCGATACTTAATAAAACTAGTGGCTAACTATGAGACTAACTGTATGTATGGCTAATGTACACCACTAGCTATACTAACTACACTAACAATACTAAGCAGCAAGACTTAAGTGCTATCTAAATAAAACTGAAAACAAAAAAGAGGAAAACCACATATTAACTACTCTAATAATGTTAATAAGTCTAATAATGCTATCTAACTAAAACTGGGGCAGGGAGCAAAAATTAAAAAAAAAGGTGCAAAAAAATTTGGGCAAAAAGTAGGTGGAAAAAAAACAAACTAAAATAAATGGAAAAAAGAATAAACGAAATAGACCAAGAAACAAACAAAAAACACCAACACCAACAAGCACAAATGCTAAGTTAGATGGGTTCAAGTCATACAGGTCACCAAAAATAGCTCCCTGGGGAAGGTGGACAAAAATCCAAGACCAGGGCCAGCACTGTGGCATAGTAGGCTAAGCTTCCACCTGTGGCACTGGCATCCCATATGGCACTGGTTCAATTCCCAGCTTCTACTCTTCTGATTTGGCTCTCTGCTATGGCCTGGGAAAGCCAAGTCATTGGGCCCCTGCACCTCTGTGGGAGGCCCAGAAGAAGCTCCTGGATCCTGGTTTTGGATTGGCCCAGATCTGGCCATTGTAGCCATTTGAGGAGTAAACAGTGGATGGAGGACCTTTCTGTCTCCCTGTCTGTAATTCACCTCTCATATGATAAATAGATAAAATCTTTAAAAAACAAAATCCAAGCCCAACCAGTGGCTTGTATGTTTTTTTTTTTTTTTGAATTATATAATACTTATGACTCCTTAGGAAGTCTGAGCAAAAAATGGACCAGTCACAGCTGTAGATAATCCACAGGAGTTTTCCCAAGAATCTTCCTTAAAAATAGGGATCCTAAGAGCTTTTTTCTTAGGTTGATGATTAAGTTTGATTTTTTTTTTTTTGATAAAGTAAAACCTGTAGGGAGACCTGGATGGAGTTCCAGGTTCCTGGTTCCAGCCTGGCCTACCCATGACTGTTGCAGCCATTTGGTGAGTGAATCAGCAGGTGAAAGATCGACCTCTCTCTCTGTCTCTGTCTCTGTCACACCCCACCCCCACAACTCTGCTTTTCAAATAAGTAAATCTTTAAAGAATTCTTCTAACATTACCAGAGATTCCCTTTGTCCCCTCCACCGTCCTACCACTCCCATTCTGACTCTTTTCATTCCCCCATCTGCACTGAAGTCCTGAAGTGCTGTTTGGGAATTGGGACATCGCTCAATCTGGCTACTTCCTGCTGGACAGGGTTATCAATGAATCAGCAGTCAGGGACTCCATTGGTGGAGGTCCAAGGGCCCATGTTAATAGGGCTTGAATGTGACAGGTTCCTTTTGCCGCACCGTCTATAGTCAGGCAACTCTGGAATAAATCAGTTGTGCAAAGTAATTTAGTATACAGGGTCTAAATAATAGTGGAGTAAATAATATACAAAGTGGCTCTAGAAAAAGATCATAGTCATGAAAGTCAGTGCCAGTCTTAAAAAAACCTTGAAATTGGAAATGTGAATTTTATTATTTCTTTGTGTATCTTATCAATCTTTTTTTGAATTAAATTAGAATTATCAGTGAGGTTGAAATAACACATTCTGCCAACTCCCAAACCCTAATTTATTTTTGAGTAAAAGGTAATCAGTCATAGTTTGGTTTTGTAAGACTCCTTGCTGGACCTGGCTTAACTCATCATTTATACATAATAAAGCTATAACAGTGGCATTGGCTGCTTTATCAAGTACATAGGCCAACTGATTGATCTTTTTATAAGCTTATCCTAATCCAGGATGGGAAGGATAAGAGCGCCCAGCATTGCCATTGTAATCACACCCCATAAGTTTAAGTTATCATCACAGGAACCTGGCAATGTGATGTAGCAGGAAAACTGCTGCCTGCGACACCAGCATCCCCTATGGGTGCCTGGGTGCAGCGAAAGATGGCCCAACTACTTGAGCCCCTGAACCTACATGGGAGAACTGGATGAAGCTCCTGGCTTCAGCCTGACCCAACCCCACCCATTGCAGCCATCTGGGGAGTCAACCAGTAGATGGAAGATTTCTTTCTGTCCCTGTCTGTCCCCCTCTCTCTGTAACTCTTTCAAATCAATCAACCCCAATGCATCAGCTGCATTGGGATTGAGTGCCTATAATGAGTTAGCCTATGAGAGGAACAACTTTTCTCACTGAAAACAAGCCAGAATAGAATTTGGGGAGGACTGTATGTGAAATGTTGCCTCAAAGAAAGGCCCAACCTTTAGGCATAATTACTGCACTCAAGTAATTTACAGTTGTCATGGAGGTTCAGTTATGCTTTGGAGGTTGCTGCAAGATATTCAAACACAGTCATCATTTATGGTAAATAAGATCAGCATAGAAAGCCCTAATTGAAGGAGACAAAGATGAAATATTGTGTTGGGTTACAGTTGGACAGTTGACTTAGTGAAGCACCCAATCCTAATACATTTTGTTGCAGATGTTAATTGGAGAAGTCCCTTCTTGCATGCAAAAAGGTCTTATTTTGTACAATGGCAGCAGGATGAACACACAGATTTTCCGGGGCGGGGGGGCTGAAAAATTTGGATCTGCATGGACTGCTACTGAAATGTTAGCAGTTATCAGAACAAAATCAGTGACATCCTTTTTTAATCTTTATACAGCTATATAGTCCTGCACCTGACTTTTATGTCTGTAAATGGCCAATTCTAAAACATTGATATTTTTCTTTTACTGAGGTGACTGTCAGTTTGACAATATATCACAGTTGTTTATTTTATCCAAAGGATGGATATTACAATTTTTCATACTAGTTATTGCAAGGCAGTGTGAGAGGCTGGCCTGTGTACACAGTGATTGTAGATGGTGCATCTAAACTGGCAAGGATATGGGGAAAAAGGCACACTAATTCACTGATGGTGGGAATGCAAACTGGTAAAGCCACTATGGAAGTCAGTTAGATATTCCTCAGAAACCTGAATATAGCCCTACTATATGGCCTAGCCATCCCACTCCTCGGAATCCACCCAAGGGAAATTAAATTGGCAAATAAAAGAGCTGTCTGCACATCCATGTTTATTGCAGCTCAATTCACAATAGATAAGTCATAGAATCAACCTAAATGCCCATTAACAGAAGACTGGATAAAGAAATTATGGGATATGTACTCTATAGAATACTACACAGTGGTAAAAAAAAATGAAATCCGATCATTCACAACAAAATGGAGAAATTCGGAAAACATCATGCTGCGTGAAATAAGCCAGTCCCAAAGGGACAAATATCAAATGTTCTCCCTGATCTGTGACAACTAACAGAGCATCTAAAATGAAACCTGTAGAAGTGAAACTGACACTATGAGAAACAATGATTTGATCAGCCCTTGTCATGACTGTTGAGGAACAGCTTACTATTTTATTCTTTTCAGTATTTTCTTTTTCTACTTAATACTATTGGTTGATCTCTTTAATTAACACACAATTATTCTTAGTGTTTAAATTTAACTGAAAATTGATCCCTGTTAAAAATAAGAGTGGGACTAAAAGAGGGAGGAGACATACAGTTAGGCACACTCTCACTTGGACTTACCCCTAATGGTAGAGCTAGAAACATGCCATGAGACTTCAAATTCCATTAAGTTGGCAGGTACCAATGCCATCTTACTAGTTAAAATGATCAGTTTAATTTCATAATTGATTATAAAGATATGATTAAGTGTCAAAGGGATCACATAAATAAGACCAATGTCTGCTAATAATAATTGACAGAATTAAAAAGGAGAGAATGACCCAACATGGGAAGTGGGATACACAGCAGACTCATAGAATGGCAGATGCCCAAACAGCACTCTGGCCTCAGAATCAGCCCTTAAGGCTTTTGGATCTGGCTAAAAAGCCCATGAGAGTTTCTAAGGCATGGAAAGCCAAAGACACTGTGGCAAAAAAAAGAAAAAAAATTGACCTAAATGAAAGATCTCTGTGAGTGAGAGCCCAGTGGAAAGAATGGGCCATCAAAGAAGGAGGTACCTTTCTCTGTAGGGAGGAGAGAACTTCCACTTTGATTATGGCCTCGTCTAAATAAGGTCAGAGTTTGTGAACTCAAGAGGCTTCCATAGCCTTAGCAGCTCATGAGAAGAAACTTGGGTGATTACTGACATCATAAATAAGAGTGTCAACTGTTAAATCAACAACAGGAGTCACTGTGTACTTACTTCCCATGTAGGATCTCTGTCCTTAATGTGTTGTACTATGTGAATTAATGGTAAAACTAGTATTCAAACAGTACTTTATACTTTGTGTGTCTGTGTGGGTGTAATCTGTTGAAATCTTTATATATACTATATATATATATATATACACTAAGTTGATCTTCTGTATATAAAGATAATTAAAATGAATCTTAATTAAAAAACTGAGGTCACTTACCTGTTGCTTTCTCTTTAAAGAGGCATCTGAGGTCCTCTAGAGGCTCACATGAATATTGGGCTTGTCGTTTGTTGAGGAGCTGATGTTCTTAGTTTCCTGCTGTTGATGAGTCCAGGGCTTTATTTGAGTGTGGGGGATCCAAGAGTCTCAGCCTGACACTTTTGCTGTAACAAAGGTAGACAAAATAACAGTGAAGGGTCCTTCCCCTAAGGGCCAAGCGGGCAAGTGTTAGCAGGGAGAGTCTTAACAAGAACTAAGCCATAACAACTCTCCCTTTTAGAACTGAGAAATAGAGGTAATGTTTTTAACTTGCTAGGTAACCTCCTGGTCTAGCAGTAAATCATTAGTGATAAATGTTGCCCATATACCATTTCAAAAGGACTTAGACTAGACCGGCTCTGAGGAGTATTTCTAATTCTGATAAGGGACATCAGGACCTGAGGAGTCCTCAAAGGCAAATAAGTATTGGGAATTATGATGCAAGGGGATGCAGAAGAAAGCATCCTGTAGTCTAAAACTGTGACAGGCAGCATCCTCAGGAGTCTGTCAGCATAGCGAAGGGATCAGGGATCACTGGATGGATGGCGACTACTGACTCATGAGTAAGTTAGAAGTCTCAGACTAGCCTCCATTCTCCATTAAGCTTCTGAACTCCTAAGACAGAGCTAGTTAAAGTGCCTTTACAGGGTTTTAGGAGGTTGAGATTTGAGGTTGTCTACTATAGCTTGGAGTTGAAGTAACACCTTGACAGCAGGGACTCCATTTTGGATCACCTGAGACTCCATCTTGAGAAAGCACCCTCTCCCTCCAATCCCAGCGTGAGACTCTGGTCTGAAACTATGATCTAAAACACTCGGACAAGAGCAGTCCACTGCATCACACCTGGCAACCTGCATCACACTTGGCAGAACATGGAAACTCCCTACCATGATTGCTCAAGCTTGGAAGTGGATAGGCTGCATCTGGGTTAATGATAAAAATGTGATTTGTCTGTGGCCTACATATGATTAAAACCAATATCTGGATTAATGTCAAGATTATAATTGATTTTGTTAAGATTGTAACTGGTATTGTCAAGATTATAATTGATACTAGTTTCGCATAGGTTTTAGGTCAGCTTAACCCCCGTAACCACGTATTCCCCTCTGATCCCAGAAACCATGTATTCCCCTCCCGATTTTTTGGTTCTTGCCTTTATAAACCCTGTTGCTTTGGGCTTCGGGGTCGAGAGTTCTTTAGGGCATGAGCCCACTCTCCACTGCCGGCAATAAAGGACCATCAGATTTTATCAATGTGTGGTGCTCCTTTGTTTGCACTCGCTCAGGTACAACAGACTCCCTTACGAGTAGCAGGCCTCAAAGGATATTGTCACTGGTGAGGGAAAAAGTAGGATCTTCAAGATAAATCCTCACAGGGGCAGGAGTCAAAACTCTACCTATATTCCCCTCCTGGCCCATACCCCAGGGTCAATCTCAGTCTCTGTGAGGGAAAGGAGGAGAGATTTACTGGAGCTCTAAGGACAGTAGTATTCATCTGAGGTAAAATATTTCATCCCAGGAGGGGAGTGGAGTTTCAAGCATGATTAAGAAAGCATGAGTAGGGGCCGGTGCCGTGGCTCACTTGATTAATCCGCCGCCTGCGGTGCCGGCATCCCATATGGGTGCTGGGTTCTAGTCCTGGTTGCTCCTCTTCCAGTCCAGCTCTCTGCTGTGGCCTGGGGAGGGGGGGCAGTGGAGGATGGCTCAAGTGCTTGGGCACCTGCACCTGCGTGGGAGACATAATGAAGAATGCCTTTTTTTCCAAAATACATAGAGAACTCTTACACTCAACAATAAGCATATAAACAACCCAATTACAATGTGAGCCAAAGAGAATGACAAATACTGCATCAAAGAAAAATACAGATGATAAATAAGCATATGAAAAGGTATACAGCATTGTATATCATTAGGCAAATGCAGACAAAATGAAGAATGAGAGCTAATACTACAGAACTATTAGAGTGACCCAAATCAAGAAAACTGACAGCAAATGCTGATGAGGATCTGGAACAATAGGAGCTCTCATTTACTGCTAGCTGGAATTAAAAATCATACGTACAGCTTGGAAGAGAGTTTGAGATGTCCTACCAAGCTAAATACACTCTTACCACATAATCCAGCAATTGTTCTTCTTTGTGTTTGCTCCAAAGAGTAGAAAAGGTATATCCCGGGGGCTGGTGTCATGGCATAGAGGGTAAAACTACTGCCTGCGATGCTGGCATCCCGTATGGTATGGCACTGGTTAGTGTCCTGGCTGCTTCATTTCCAATTCAGCTCTCTGCTCATGGCCTGAGAAAACCAGCAGAAGATGCTTTTTGGGTCCCGGCCACCCACATTTAGAGACCAGGATGAAGCCCCTGGCTCCTGGCTTCTGCCTGACTTAGCCCTGGTCATTGTAGCTACAGCAGATGGAAGATATCTCTGACCTTTGTTCTCCCTGTTACTCTTTCAAATAAATCTTAAAAATATACATTTGAAATTGTTTTATTTTTATTGGAAAAATCACTCCATCCTCAGTTATCACTTTTCAAATATATCCTATTTATTTTTGTAATTTTATGAGGTTCTCACGGAAAAGACATGGGCGTTCTGCTACTATCTTCATGTTTCTTAATTTCTTCCTACTACCTTTTAGTTTATGTTTCCCCCTGACTTCTCAGATGTTTAATATATTCTTCCTTTCTGCTGCTTCTGCTTCATGTGAAAAGTTTATTATATGTATTGTCTTCTTTTTTTTTTTTCTACTGGCTGCACTCCTTAGATAACTTTTCTCTAATGGATTGTGTTCCTGGAGGGCATAATTTACCTAGAGTGGGCTGTGAGCCTGAGTCTTCCTGGAGATCAATCTGATGGATTTGGGGAGTAGAGAGTGGGGAGGAACATATTGAGGGCATTGTCTGGCATTAAAACTTGCGCCATCGCCGGCGCCGTGGCTCAATAGGCTAATCCTCCACCTTGCGGCGCCGGCACACCGGGTTCTAGTCCCGGTTGGGGCGCCGGATTCTGTCCCGGTTGCCCCTCTTCCAGGCCAGCTCTCTGCTATGGCCAGGGAGTGCAGTGGAGGATGGCCCAGGTGCTTGGGCCCTGCACCCCATGGGAGACCAGGAAAAGCACCTGGCTCCTGGCTCCTGCCAGGATCAGCGCGGTGCGCCGGCTGCAGCGGCGGCCATTGGAGGGTGAACCAACGGCAAAAGGAAGACCTTTCTCTCTCTGTCTCTCTCTCTCACTGTCCACTCTGCCTGTCAAAAAAAAAAAAAAAAAAAAAACTTGCGCCATCCTATTATCATCTTTGTATGCAAGATAATGAGGTTAGCTAGAAAGAGCAGTGGACACTGTCACTTATAAAGACTCAGAAACTTCACTCTTTTGAAATATAAGCACACTATCTTATCAGCAAGTATCAGCATTTACTCAGTCTTGCTCAACCTTGTCTGTCAGATTTATCACTGGAATAATGGAATCCCGATTCTGTGCACATATTTTCCCAAATAAAATAGCCCTGCCAAATCTGATTATCAGTGAGTATGATGGGGGAGTTAAATGAAAAGTTGAAAATGTGTGCTGCATAACATTTGTAAGTTCACTTTTCTTTCTTAGGTAGCTAGCTAGTGTGTTAAATCTTCAACAGCAACAGACGCAACACCTAGTCAGTCTAAACGCAGTATCGTGGCCTATAATCCTAGAAGGATCCCCATCAGTGCAGACATGGGAGATTTTAAATGGAAAATAAAGTAGTTCTGGTGATTTGGGGGACATTATGTAAAAAGTTGCTGTATCATGATAGTGTTAAATAAGCTTCATTCTGTTTCTTGTTCTCAACTGACACTTTTCTAATTATGAAATACTTAAGTTTCAGGACTAGGCTCTTTGTATTTCTTTATAGATCTACCAACCAGCCTGGGGGACTTTGCCAGTGCAGGAACATATGAGGCATATTCTATGATAATGTAAGAAAGGAATGCATGCCAAAAAACCACGGTTTGAACAGAATTGGCTCCCAAACTCATGTAGACATTTAACACCAAAGTCTTAAGTTGATAAAGAAATTTAATCCAATTATGTTTGAGGGGTGGGTCTAGTGGAAGGTCCTTAGGTCATCAGGGACATAGCCTTGGTGGTTCTGACAAGAGTGTTGGTTACAAAAGCTGTAGTCAGGCCCAGCAGTTCTGGGCTCCCCATGTGATCCTTCCTGGACTCACTCCCTCTCTTGCCATGCAGTGGTCTGCATGGTCTCAGGGCTCTTCCTGTAATAACACTGTCACCATAAGCTCAATCAGTGGGGCCTTCTTGCTTTTGGACCGTGAATATCAAGAACCGCGAGCACAAATAAGCTGCTTTCTTTCTAGGCAGACTGGAAGGTATTTTATTGTAGTAACAGAAAGCTGACTAATGCAAATAGGAAGAGGCATGCAAGGATCTAATTACCATGGTGGGAGGGGAGAGAAAGAGCGAGTGAGCATGGGGTACTGGACGAGAACAGATGAAGCGTTAAACACTAGTGATTTAGGGTTCTAGTATAAAGGTGTATTTGTCGACCATAATCTGTTGGACATTGAAAATCTACCAAGCAGTGTTTCCCTCGCAGAGGCAATGGTCTACCGGTCATTTCAGTGCAAAAGTCCACCTCAGGAGCCAGCAAGCTCTGTTCTGGGTGTGCGTGTGTCCTTTATCAAATATTAGTAATGCAAAAAGGAGCAATGAAAACTCATTGTTATGTCAGAATTCAAGTGAGTTAATCTAAATTGTTAAACAATGCTTTTCCAACTACATTTCACATCTCTTTTGTGGGTTGTGGAATTTAGTGAGTTGTAACAAAATAAAAGGTAATTTTGCAATAAAATATATGAAAAGAAGATAATAAACTTTAAAATATCAGGATAAGTACTTTTAATAAAATTTTAAAAATTAGCCAGCATATGTTCATACTAGGTGGTAGTAACTAGATGAGTCTGGGTAGCTCTAAAGGAGCACCAAAGCCATTCGGTGGCATTGTGCCATATTTTTTAATGCCTGGAGATATTCATATTTCCAGTGTAAGAACTTCTTATTTTTAAGACTTATTTTTATTTGAAAGGTAGTATGACAGAGAGAGGAAAAGACAGATATTCCATCTCTTGGTTCACTCCTCAAACGTCCACAACAGCCAGGGCTGGGCCAGGCTGAAGCCAGGAGACAGGAGCTCCATCTGGGTCTCCCATAGCGGGTGTTAGGAGTCCAAATGCCTGAGTCATCATCTACTGCCTCTTCAGCAGCCTAGGAAGCCAGATCGGAGCTGGAGCGGCTGGGACTCCAATCGATACTTTGATATTGAATGCCAGCAATGAAGCTTAATCTACTGCATCACAACACTGGCCCCTCAAGTGTAAGAACTTTTTTTTTTTTTAAATCAGATTATTTATGTACAAGCACCTTTAAATAGTTCAGTGAAGTAAAGGTGGGGGTCAGAGCCATGCCAGATGAATACAATCAAGTCAGATTCTATTATACAAGAGTAACTCATCTCAACAGGGTAAGTGACACAATCCAAGAAACAAAATAAAAATAACCGCTGGTGCAGAATCAGTCCCGAGAAGACTGCCTGGACTTTGTGGCACCAGGACAAACTGCTCACAGCCTTTCTTCACCCTGTGAATGGGACACGGTTGTAGACACAGCTCCAGGCAGACACACAAACAAGTCTTTGCCTCTCAGGACAACAAAAGTCACCAGAGATTCACTCTCTACCCTGGGCAAACACTCCTCATGCAGGGATGGGTAGACAACATTATGGCTGGTACATCTAAGCTGAAAGGCATGCCTGTGGTCACATCTCTGGTCTGTGCTACAATAACATGGCGAGGAAATGATGGACAGACAACAAAATAACTATACCAAATAATAACTTGGGAAATGAAACAATTTCAAATAAGTGTTATTGACCGAATAATTTTCTAAGAAGTGTATTTCCTCCAGTTATCATTGTAATTCTGGTTTATAAATCTGTTGCACTACGGTATCTTTTTTTTTATGAAACAGAAGCTCACTGCTCAAACAAATCTATTACATCATAGGAAGTATCACCAGTATTTCCAAATACGTTATGAATCTCAATCAACTATATTAATTTATGGGGACATCCCTAAATGTAAGCTAAAACAACGTAGAACGTACCTGGCTGGGATGTTTTTTGTCCCCCAAAAGGTTCTTGTCCTGGAGGCTTGGTCCTCCAGGGTGACAGTTTGGAGAAGAAGCTGGATCTTTGAGAGTCTTGGTGGGAGCAGACCTTAGGTCACTGAGGACACAGCCTTTGAAGGAGAATGCTTGAGTGAATTCATAAGAGCAAATTGTTGCAAAAGCGTAAGCATGCCTCCCCCAGCTCACTTTCTGACTCCCTGAATAAGATAGAATCCCTTCCTGACACACACACACTCACTAGGGCCATCTGCCGCGATGCGCCAGCAGAGCTGAGCTAATGCCAGCACCAGGCCTTATGAACTTTGCACACTACGAGCTAAATACACGTCTCTGCTTCTTAAGTAGCCTGCCTCAGGCCGTTTCATTATCACAACGAAAAACGGACTAATATGTAGTACCGGAAACAATCGAAATATTATCCCGAAATTAGCCCATGCTACCAGACAGCACATGACTACCACACTGCGATGGGTGAGGAGAATTTGATGTAAATACCAGTACCGGTTTCACACAGTACTCTCGACTCTGTAACCTGTAGAAAAGGCTCAAATCAAGTTCCGGCAGAGAGCTCCGGGAGCAGCACGCCCAGCCAGCTCGCCGAGGACGCCGTGCCTTTCACGGGGCACCTGTGGCCCGGGATCGGAATGGTGGCCGCTGCATCATCGCTGCGGAGGCCCCCAGGAGCTGGAAGGCCGGACAAGGCAGGGTCGTGGACGCAAGCTTGGCCCTCACTGCGGGCCTTGGGCGGCAGACCCCTGACCAGGCGTGACTGCCGTGTCCCAGTTAGAGGAAACCTCACCTCGTCCCAGCAAAAGGCCTTAACGGCCCCCGAAGCTGGGAGCTGAGCCCCCCCGGATGACGGGTGGAACGGTTGGGGGCTATGGCGGTTGGTCTGAGTTCTACCAGAACCTGGTGTTGGAGAGAAAAACGGCCGCCTGGAGATGCCCCCACCCCCACCCCCACCCCAGCCTGAGATTTACTAGCCGTTTATAGAAGGCCTGTGTATATGAGAAAGTTGTGAGAGGGGCCCTGGGAACCTGGTGGTGAGAAACCACATAGATCCATCTTGAAACATAACTTGGCACCTGTTCAAAATTCCCATTTCACAGCCTCTCGCCTGCGCAGTCAGACTGTTGAAACAGGATGTGGTACTCACTGACTGTACCATGCAAAATAGCATATTCTATGAGCAATGGCATAGCAGGTGGGACAAAGGAAATCACTTGGTAGTAATAAACCTAAGGGGATATGTTAGCAGTATAAAATAAAACATACAAAAGAAACACACTGAAGAACCAAGAAGTTATATTAAGTGGGAAAAATATGATAATAAAGAACCCAGGTGATTGGATTTTTGTGAGAAATCAATCATTCAAATAGAAACCAGATTGAGATAACCTTCCAAGTAAAAGGAAGAGAGAATATTCAAGAAATGTTGAAAGTGGAAATGGTAACAACTGGGAATATGGATTTTAGGAAAACAGAGTAATAAAAGTCAGATGGGGGCCAGCACTGTGGGTAGTAGGTGAAGCCTCTGCCTACAGTGCTGGCATCCCACATGGGTGCTGGTTGGTGTCCTGACTGCTGCTCTTCCAATCCAGCTCTCTGCTTCTGGCCTGGGAAAGCAGTAGAAAATGGCCCAAGTGGCTGGGGCTCCTGCACCTGCATGGGAGACCAGGAAGAAGCCTGGCTCCTGGCTTCTGATCAGCCCAACTCCAGCTGTTTTGGCTTCTTGAGGAGTGAACCAGTGGATGGAAGACCCTTCCCTCTGTATCTTCTCTCTGTCTGTAACTCTCTCAAATAAATAAATAAATAATCTTGAAAAAAAAAATCAGATAAAAGCAGGACAGCCATTTGATCTAGTAGAAAGACACTGCTTTAGACACCTGCATCCTATATCAGAGTACCTGGCTCCAGTCCCAGCTACAATATTGATCCCAGCTTCCTGCTTGGTAGCAGGTGATGGCGCAAGTACTTGGGTCCCTGCCACATGCATGGGAGACCCAGACTGAGTTCTTGGCTCCCAGCTTTGGCCTGGTCCAGACCTGCCTGTTTCAGGTGTGTGAATAGTAAACCACTGGATGGGTGATTCTCTCTCTGCCTGTCCCCAACCCCCGCCCCTGTGTGTGTGTTGCTTCTCCAATAAAATGATACTAAAATTGAAAAATGAAATGTTAATTACCTTGTTGGATACAATAGAGTATGTACATGAACTTTTAAGATAATTTTCCAAAAATTCTTTCAAATGCAATGAATTGTTCAAAGTTCAACATTTCCAACATGATATGCTTTTTAAAACCTAGATTAAAATCCAGTTATACCACTAGCTTGCCTTTCTCTTGAGTTCCCATGTGTAGCTGTTGAAAATGAGTCCTGTATGATACAAATTATGTGTTTCAAATGTCCATGGTTGGACAATGTCCTTGCTTACCTCTTTATATGAAGTAGTGTTGTCTCATGATTCCCTGTTAAAAGTCAGTGTCAGCTGGCGCTGCGGCTCACTAGGCTAATCCTCCGCCTGCAGCACCGGTACTCCGGGTTCTAGTCCCGGTTGGGTGCCGGTTCTGTCCCAGTTGCTCCACTTCTGATCCAGCTCTCTGCTGTGGTCCGGGAAGGCAGTGGAGGATGGCCCAAGTGCTTGGGCCCTGCACCTTCATGGGAGACCAGGAGAAAGCACCTGGCTCCTGGCTTTGGATCAACACAGTGCTCTGGCTGTAGCGGCCATTTGGGGTGTGAACTAATGGAAGGAAGACCTTTCTCTCTCTCTCTCTCTCTCTCTCTCTCTGTCTAACTCTGCCTGTCAAAAAATAAAAAATAGGCAGTGTCAACCTCCATTCTTATTGTCATGCTTTCAGAGAATAACTATCATATAGGGATAAATAAAACTATGGTTTCTACATACAGGCAGGTGCTACTGTCGAAATAAACTTAATCTACACACATCTCAGTTCCATGCCTGGTACCTCTTCATAGCATTTAAAAAAAAGATTTATTTATTTGAAAGTCAGAGTTACAGAGAGAGAGAGAGAGAGAGAGAGAGAGAGAGGTCTTCCATCCACTGGTTCACTCCCTACATGGCCACAATGGTCATAATTGCACGGATCCAAAGCCAGGAGCCAGGAGCTCCTTCCAGGTCTCCCATACAGGTGCAGGGCCCAAGGACTTGGGCCATCTTCCACTGCTTTCCCAAGCCATAGCAGAGAGCTGGAACAGAAGTAGAGCACCCAGGACTTGAACCGGGGCCCATATGGGATGCTGGCACTGAAGGTGGTGGCTTTATCCACTATGCCACAGCACTGGCCCTTCATAGTATGATGAATTTTACCTCATGACCCTTTCCTGACAGCAAAATTCAGACATGTTCTGTCTAATAATAAGCCTAAAATTGAAAATGTGTGTTTCCCTACCTCTTTCATCACAAAAAGATAATTTACATAAACTATACACATACGTAATTGTAAGTGGTGATGATGATAGAATGGTAGATGGTAGACACTATAACAGAATCAGCTATGGTTGTTCTTATTAGTAATCTGCATCATAAGAAGAGGATTGCTTAGTGGTGAAGCTGACTGTTAGGACTCCCGCATCTCACATCATATTGCCTGAGTCTGAGATCTTGTTCTCTTCCCTCTTCCAGCTTCCTGCTGACATGCACCACTAGAGGCAGTAGGCAATGGCTCAAGTACTTGAGTCCTTGGCTCCTGGCATATGGGAAGTGAACCATAGATGGGATTCTCTCTCTCTCCTTTGTCTCTCAAAATCATCTAAAAATTTTTAAGGATTTATTTATTTTTAGTTTTTTTTCATAATTAATTTTTTTAGTTATTTGACAGGCAGAGTTAGACAGTAAGAGAGAGAAAGAGAGAGAGAGAGAGAGAGAGAGAGAGAGAGAAAGGTCTTCCCTCAGCTGGTTCACCCCCCAAATGGCCGCCATGGCTGGAGCTATGCTGATCCAAAGCCAGGAGCCAGGTGCTTCCTCCTGGTATCCCATGCGGGTGCAGGGGCCCAAGCACTTGGGCCATCCTCCACTGCCCCTCACCCTGGGCCACAGCAGGGAGCTGGACTGAAAGAGGTGCAACCGGGACTAGAACCTGGCACCCACATGGGATGCTGGTGCCGCAGGTGGAGGATTGATCAAGTGAGCCATGGCGCCAGCCCCCAAGATTTATTTATTTATTTGAAAGTACACAGAGAGAAGGAGAGGCAGAGAGAGAGAGAGAGAGAGAGAGAGAGAGGTCTTCCATACGCTGGTTCACTCCCCAATTGGCCGCAATGGCAGGAGCTGCACTGATCCAAAGCCAGGAGCCAGGAGCTTCTTCCAGGTCTCCCACGTGGGTGCAGGGGCCCAAGGACTTGGGCCATCTCCTACTGCTATCCCAGGCCATAGCAGAGAGCTGGATGGGAAGTGGAGCACCTGGGACTAGAACCAGTGCCCATATGGGATGCTGGCCCTTCAGGCCAGAGCTTTAACCCGCTGTGCCACAGCGCCAGCCCCAAAAAACACCATTTTATTATTATTATTATTATTTTTTTACCTTTTATTTAATGAATATAAATTTCCAAAGTACGACTTATGGATTACAATGGCTTCCCCCCCATACCGTCCCTCACACCCACAACCCTCCCCTTTCCCACTCCCTCTCCCCTTCCATTCACATCAAGATTCATTTTCAATTCTCTTTATATACAGAAGATCAGCTTAGTATATATTAAGTTAGGATTTCAACAGTTTGCTCCCACACAGAAACATAAAGTGAAAAATAATGGATGATTTTTTTTAAATGATGATGAAATCAGAGCAGACCTATTGTCATGTTTAATCCCAGTGAGAGTCAAGTTGGGAATTGATAATTTCTTTTTTTTTTTTTTTACACAAGATCAGTTTAGTATGCATTAAGTAAAGATTTCAACAGTTTGCACCCCCATAGAAACACAAAGTGAAATATATTGTTTGAGTACTCATTATAGCATTAAATCTCAATGCACAGCACATTAAGGACAGAGATCCTACATGAGGAGTAAGTGCACAGTGACTCCTGTTGTTGACTTTACCAATTGACACTCCTGTCTATGGCCTCAGTAATCTCCCTATGCTCCAGTCATGAGTTTCCAAGGCTATGGAAGCCCTCTGAGTTCTCCGACTCTTATCTTGTTTAGACAAGGTCATAGTCAAAGTGGAGGTTCTCTCCTCCCTTCAGAGAAAGGTACCTCCTTCTTTGAAGACCTGTTCTTTCCACTGGGATCTCACTCACAGAGATCTTTTTGCCAGAGTGTCTTGGCTTTCCATGCCTGAAATACTCTCATGGGCTTTTCAGCCAGATCCGAATGCCTTTAGGGCTGATTCTGAGGCCAGAGTGCTATTTAGGACATCTGCCATTCTATGAGTCTGCTGAGTATCTCACTTCCCATGTTGGATCACTCTCCCCTTTATTTATTCTATCGGTTAGTGTTAGCAGGTACTAGACTTGTTTATGTGCTCCCTTTGACTCTTAGTCCTTTCATTATGATCAATTGTGAACTGAAATTGATCACTTGGACTAGTGAGATGGCATTGGTACATGCCACCTTGATGGGATTGAATTGGAATCCCCTGGTATGTTTCTAACTCTACCATTTGGGGCAAGTCAGCTTGAGCATGTCCCAAATTGTACATCTCTTCCCTCTCTTATTCCCACTCTTATGTTTAACAGGGATCACATTTCAGTTAATTTTCAACACTTAAGAATAACTGTGTATTAATTACAGAATTAAACCAGTCATATTAAGTAGAACAGACAAAAAAACTACTAAGAGGGATAATGTATTAAGTTGTTCATTAACAGTCAGGGCTATGCTGATCAAATAATTTTATTATTTTTTAAAATATAGAGTTTTTTTTTTTGGCCAATAGGAAGAACCTGGTATGATACATACAAAAATTTTTTTTATATATCACATTGAATAACTAAGTCTCCTAACAAACATTGCGGCTGGAGCTGTGGCATAGTGAGTAAAGCTGCTGCCTGCAGTTCCAGCATCCTGTGTGGGTGCCAGCCATTTGGGAAGTGAACCAGTGGATGGAAGACCTCTCTCTGTCTCTCTCTATCTCTCTTCCTCTGCTTCTCTGTAAATCTGCCTTTCAAATAAATAAAAAAAAAACTTTAAAAATGTAACTTCCAGGTATTTAAAGGTGCAAGATAGCTTCTGTTTTGTTATAGTAAATATCTAGCAATTTTTAAAATGTACTAAATATTTTATTGATACAAGTAAACCAATGAAGCTTGTCATTTTTAAAGTTGTTTCATACTTTATTTTCTAATTACACTAGTTTACATTTGATTTCTTTACATCATTTTCAAATGATGGGAAAGGAAACTTCCAAATCAGTCTAATCAGCTCTAATTAGCTGTCATTAATTTATAGAGTAAAGGACATAAAGGTATTCATTAAGATCTTAAGAATAAAAATGTTGAGCCGGCCCAGTGGCTCAATAGGCTAATCCTCTGCCTTGCAGCGCCGGCACACCGCGTTCTAGTCCCAGTCGGGGGATTCTGTCCTGGTTGCCCCTCTTCTGGGCCAGCTCTCTGCTATGGCCCGGGAGTGCAATGGAGGATGGCCCAAGTGCTTGGGCCCTGCACCCCATGGGAGACCAGGAGAAGTACCTGGCTCCTGCCATCGGATCAGCGCAGTGCGCCAGCAGCAGCGCCACGGGCACGGCGGCCATTGGAGGGTGAACCAAC